GGGGCAAACGTTTATTTTTGTTTGCACCCATTATACACTATATATTTAATAAATATAAAAATATTACTTTTAAAATATCACAGTATGTCTATCTATCACAATATTCGACACGTTATCACACGTTATAACGGTCGAGTCGCGCACTGCGTGTAAGCACGTATAGTACGTACCGCGTGACAAGTGAACCATCCCGCGCAAATATATGTCATTGCGCGCACACGATTTTGTTTACAAATATGTATATATAGGGTGTCTACATGCTACATTTTTAGCATGTACCCAATTTTTGTTATTTTTCGCAAAATTATAATTACACAATTATTTAATATAATTATATATAAAAAATTTTTCCCGCGTTGTATGTGTCGTAAGGAGATATATGTATAATTGATCGTTTGCATTGAATGTCACTATTTTCTGAAAAGTAAAAAAAGAGAGCTCTCTCTCTCTCTCTCTCTCTCTTCTTGATCCTTTATGCTTATTGTTAGTATTCTATCAATTAGTAATCAATGCAATCAATCATATCGTTTTACGGCAACAGCCAGTTACTCGTTCACTCACTCATTCATTCTTTTAAAATATGTCCATTTTTATACATAATTATGTAAATTTATATATAAAAAATAAGGGTGCATATATAATCATGTCAAATTTGTATATAAAACATATATATTTATATATATAAAGAAATACTTATTTATTACACTTGTATATATATATATATATATATATATATATATATATATAAATTTATATAATTATATATAACAAGCACTTTTACTTAATTATGTATAGACATATTTCATAATATAATTCTGCGATTATACGTATACTTTTATATATTTCTATATAATGTTATATTATTATATACACAAATTTTTGTCCCGGGGTATTTTAAACTTTTATTTTCTTTTTCTTTCCCCATTCTTGTCTGTCTTTACATGCATGTTATTATGTTGTATGTGTATCATGTATAATTTGGATTTGTATGTATGTTGAGAAGATTGGAATAGATAAAATTTTATTACTTCATGTTTTTATATTATAAATGCAGCTTTTTGTAAATATCCGAAATAAATAATTTTTCTACAAATATTTTAAATTTATCAAAATATTTTTTACTGCACAATTAGACTAATATATTTTGCATTATTCTATCTTTATTAATTTATTTCATAATAAAATGGATTTTATTGAACAAATAATAAATAGTAAATAGAGAAAATATAAAATATCGAAAAGAATATATTCATATAAACATATATTTGTGAAATCGAAATTTTGTTAAAATTGACTTTCATAGAAATTGTATTTTATAAATTTAATTAAAAAAAGCTGCATTTATCAGATAGAAACATAAAGTAATAAAATAATATATTCCAATCTTCTCAACACACACACACACACACACACACACACACACACGCACACAACTTCTTATAACAAATGTTATATAAATTATACATATACAGGATGTAACAACGATCATATATCAGGAGTTTTTAGAAGAAAATACGTATTTTATTGAAAAATGTTTTATTACCAAAGTTATAAGGGTTACTTATCATTACATAGTAGTATTAGTATTATGTTGAATAGCATTATCAAAGTCACATAAAGATTATTTGGAAATAATGGAAACCCTCATTTTTTATTGCATGTACATACATGTAGCTTACTTTGAGAGCTTTTCTAAATAAATTTTTCATTCTGTGCAACATAATTAAGTAAAAGTGCTTGTTATATATAATTATATAAATTTATATATATATATATATATATATATACAAGTGTAATAAATAAGTATTTCTTTATATATATAAATATATATGTTTTATATACAAATTTGACATGATTATATATGCACCCTTATTTTTTATATATAAATTTACATAATTATGTATAAAAATGGACATATTTTAAAAGAATGAATGAGTGAGTGAACGAGTAACTGGCTGTTGCCGTAAAACGATATGATTGATTGCATTGATTACTAATTGATAGAATACTAACAATAAGCATAAAGGATCAAGAAAGAGAGAGAGAGAGAGAGAGAGCTCTCTTTTTTTACTTTTCAAAAATAGTGACATTCAATGCAAACGATCAATTATACATATATTTCTTTACGACACATACAACCCGGGAAAAAATTTTTTATATATAATTATATTAAAATAATTGTATAATTTTATACATATATAATCGCAAAATTATATGTATAATTATACAATTATTTTATATAATTATATATAAAAAATTTTTCCTCGGCTGTACGTGTCGTAAAGAGATATACAATTCACCGTTTGCATTGAATGTCTCTATTTTCGGGAAAGAAAAAAAAGCTCGCTCTCTCTCTCTCTCTCTCTCTCTCTCTCTCTCTCTCTCTCTCTCTCTGTCTCTCTCTTTTTGTTTTATAGATTGCATACAATTTATCTTACATTTACAGTAAAAGTAATTTTTATAACAATTTACAGGTATATGCGAACAAATAAAATTCGTTAGAATCACAATGTCTATCAAATATATATTTCAGTAAAATCATTACTCGAATTACTTCGATGTATGAAAAATAAGATTTAGTTTTTATAAATTATAAATGCATATACTTATTATCTATAAAAATCATGTGAATATTATTGTATTATACAAATATAATTAAAATAAAATTGTATGTCATTATATATTTCATGTGTTTGATAATATAAATAACACAAAATTTTTTCTGTTTTATATATAGTTTTTTATAGAAAAAAATTGATGTATTATTTAATTATCAAACATAAAATATATAATGGCATACATTGGCTACACTAATTCAGAGGTTATCTTTTTCCTTCCAATGTCGAACAAAAAAGACAACCTCTGAACTAATGTGGCCAGTGTAGCCAAAACGAACAGACCTTATAAAAAACAGAAAGAGAGAGAGCGAGAGAAAGAGAGAGAGAGAGAGAAACACGTTGCAGCTCCATCTATCACGATATCACGCAACTAATCTACTGCTCTGTTTTATTCCGCAGCCTCGATTTGCACACACACATATGCGTGAAATGTTTTTTTATATATAACTTTTTTATTAGACTTGCAATCTCACTTTTAATTGCTTACTAATATTTCTTCATATAATCTTTACCGCGCATACTATATTTCATGCACAGACAAACTGCAAAACTTTTTTTATTAAATAAGTATTATTACGAACTGACACAAAGCAGCCGATAACAAAACTGTAATTTTTGATTTTTATATGATTTATATATGCAAACATAGCTAGCGCGGTCCGTTTTTATAAGTACTTTAATCGTGGAAAAGGATTTATTGATCAGTATAGTCAATAAAAAGTTATATGAAAAAAATAAATATTCTCGCATTCGGTCGGTAAAAACATCATTTAGGATCCCCTTAATAGCTATTTATTAGATATTTTATTAGATATTTTAATTATATTTAATAAATTTTATTTTATTAGCGTTTTCCAACAAAACGACACAGATGACTATGACACGCCGTTTTGCCATTTATTATATTAATAAGATTTTTCAATCTAAAATATCTATTTCAGCTTAAATTGTTTAATAATAATTTGAGAACTGATGCGCCGGTTGTAAGCCGGCGCGTTCTCTACCCAACGTTTTTAATATTGCGAGATGATGTTCCAGCCGTGAGGCCGTTCCTCTGATTGCAGGATGCAACGAAGGATAGATAAACCCGTGTGGAGTATCCACACGGAATAATTATTATGTTCCGCTCCTTGTAGTAAAGGATTTATTATTGCGGCGTCCAAGTGTACCGCTCGTCTGAGTACAAAAAGGTTGTTGTTGATACACGCGCAGGTTTATGTATATTTTCGCCAAAAAGTAAGTACAGAGAAGTGTTGAGAAGTAAGTACAGAGAAGTGTTGAGAAGTGACTCGGAAAAGCGTTTGCTTCTCTATTTATATTTTGGGGCTATCCCCACGTATTTTTATCAGCGAATCGCGTAAGACCATATTTTCGACTAATATTTATATCTTACGATTGGCTATCTTCTGATCGTCGTTGTAAGTACGAAACATCCCGCCCCCCTTGAAGGTCCTGTCTTCAAATTAAACGCCGTAACTAGTCGATTTATGAAATTTATGTCGTAATGATTTCGTTATGCAATTAATAATGGGAACGTGTCAAGCGGCGTGATATAAATTCAGATACGCAACAAGCACATGCAATGAAAGAAATGCTTGATTAAAAGAAAACGAAACGGCTTTACAATGACAAAAAACGCAACGCTAAACGATATAAAATAATAATAAAATAAATATAGAGCGCATTTTACAATAATAATAAAAAATAAAAAAGTAAAAGAAAGAAACGGAACGCAACGTTAAACAACATATATAAAAAAATAAATAAAAGGGCGCGCATCGTGTCACATGCATGACAAACACAATATAGAAGAACGCACGTATAAAATAATTTAATTGATCGTAGGCTTGTCCGTGTCATTTATTGGCAATATCGCCAGTTTTGTCAGGGGCCTTGTGACCTGTCCTCGTGCCGTCTTTAGCGTGGCCGTTCGGACAACCCCATCAGCGCCCGGATGTACTCGTTCAACTCGGCCTAATAACCACTGCAATGGCCCTAGTCCTGGCTGCTGAATTAATACCAGCTGACCAATTTTTAGTTGCTGTCCTTGGCTGGCCTTCCACTTCCTCCGCTCGATGAGAGTGTGCAGATATTCGGTACTCCAGCGTTTCCAAAAATGCTGGCGCATTTGCTCCACGCGCTGCCAGCGCAACAGTCGTCCCGGATTCTCCTCTGCTAAATCTGTAACTGGGAAGCTATTAAGCGCTGCACCAATTAAAAAGTGACCCGGAGTTATACAGTTGAGATCGTTTGGATCCTCGCTTAGCGCTGTTAATGGTCGCGAATTTAGTACGGCCTCTATCTCACACAGGACCGTCTGCATTTCCTCAAAAGTGAGGTTCGCGTTTCCGACCACGCGATTTAGATGTATTTTCGCGGATTTCACCGCTGCTTCCCATAGCCCCCGAAATGTGGGGCATGGGGCGGTATAAACTTCCAAACGAACTCGTTCCGCCGCGCGAACTGACGCACGTTTTCCTGCCCTTCAGGGCTACTGATTACCTCGTATATTTCTCTAATTTGCCTATTGGCTCCGACAAATGTCGTGCCATTGTCGGAGTACACGCACGCCGGCCTGCCTCTTCGCGACATAAATCTTTTAAACGCCCCCAAGAAGGCGTCCGCCGTGAGATCGCTTACGACCTCCAAATGTACAGCCTTGGTCGCGAAGCACACGAGAACGGCGATGTAAGCCTTTAGCATCCTGGCGTTGCGCCGCTTGGATTCTTTTATAAATATCGGGCCGGCATAGTCCACGCCCGTATGCGTGAATGGCCTTGATACGTTTACCCGTGGCCCAGGCAAATCCGCCATCACCGCCTGAGATGCTGCCGGCCCACACCTGAAGCACGCTACGCATTCGCGTACCACTTTGCGAACCGCTGAACGCGCCGCCAAGGGCCAATAGCGCTGACGCACTGCGCATATCGTGGCCTGCAGTCCCGCGTGCAAGCTCCTAACGTGCTCTCCTCGAATAATTAGCGTTGTAAGAGCGTGGCTTTTCGGCAGCAGCATGGGGTGCACCGCATCCGGCGGCAACGCCGCCCTGCTTATTCTACCTCCAACGCGAATGACGCCACACTCGTCCATAAACGGTGACAATGATAATATGCGACTCCCGCCGTCGATGCTCCGGCCCTCGCCCAAACTGCGATATTCCCCCGAGAACGACCCGCGCTGCACACAACGCACCACGACTTGCATGGCCGCGGTCATCTCCCGATGAGATATCGATGACCCGATCTCCTCAGCCCGTCGCGCACGACCGAATCTCAAACAATATGATATTATTCGCAGTATTTTCTCCAGGCTCGAAAATCTCTCCAATAAACCCGAGACTATCGGTCGATCTCCGATCGCCACGGCAGCGATCACTCTTTTCTGCTCGGGCAGTTCTCCCGATATCTCGATGTTTCTAATCGGCCAATGTCCCTCGTTAAGTCGAAGGTACGCCGGTCCTTCCCACCATAGACCAGACACAGCCAGAGCCGCCAAGTCCGCGCCACGCGATAATATATCGGCCGGGTTGTCCGCGGACGGCACGTGTCGCCAATCCGCGCCCTCGGTCAAGCGCTGTATCTCCCCGACTCGATTCGCGACGAACGCGCTCCATTTTCGCGACGAAGACTGAATCCATTGCAATGTAATGGTGGAGTCCGACCACAGAACCACCCCCGCGGCGGGAAGTCCGACCGATTCTCGAACCTTTTCTATCAATTTTGCCAACAGTAGCGCCGCGCTCAGCTCTAAGCGCGGTAATGATATTGCTCTCATAGGCGCGACTCGCGATTTTGAGACCAACAACCGCACTCGGCATTCTCCGGAATTGTACGCTCTCACGTACACGCACGCACCATAGGCACGCTCGCTCGCGTCGCAAAAGCCGTGCAGCTGCACACCCCCGGCATCGATCACGCGGCCCACGAAACGCGGCACGCGTAACTCACCGAGATTCGTCAATTGCTGTTTTATTCCCAGCCAACGCGTATGTATGTCCTGCGGCAGCGACTCATCCCATCCGACCTGCGTCTGCCATGTGTCTTGCAGAATTAATTTTGCTACTACCGTCAATGGCCCCAGTAGCCCCAACGGATCGAAAAGGCTCGCGATCTCTGATAAAATTGTTCGCTTGGTTATGCAATTGGCAGGCGATCCGCTCTCATAATCGAATTTAAAACTATCGATAACGGGATCCCACGCAATTCCCAGGATCTTAGAGCTCGAGTCCCCGCCCAGAGACACGCTCGCATCCGTCGCGCCCTCCACGTCCTTCAATAATTCTCGGCAGTTTGATGCCCACCTGCCGAGCTCGAACTTTCCGCGCTTCAGTAGCGCAACCGTCTCCTCGCGTACGCGCCTCACCTCCGACAGGGTGTTAGCGCCGGTGAGCAGGTCGTCGACGTAAAAATCCCGGAGCACGCATCCCGACCCGATCGCGAATTCGTCCGCATGTTTTTGTGCCAGGTGCTGAAGGCACCTGGTGGCCAGGAACGACGCCGAACTCGTACCGTACGTGACCGTCAGCAATTCGTATTCGCCGATCGGCGCTCCCGAGTCCTCTCGCCACACTATCCTGTGCAGATGCGTCTGCGATTCGTGCAGCAGTATCTGACGATACATTTTGATTATGTCCGCCACGAAGACATATACGAATGTTCGAAAACCGCATTAATATTGTTATCAATTCTTGTTGAATCACCGGACCTATTCGTAAAGCCTCATTGAGCGAAACTCCCGTGCTGGTTTTGCACGAGGCATCGAAAACCACGCGTAACTTCGCGCATGGACCGGTCCCCTTTATTACTCCGTGATGCGGCAGATATACAGGTTTACCCCCGATCGACCTTGCAGGTGCGACTCTCATGTGCCCCAACGATTGATATTCGCGTAAGAAATTCGCGTAGGAGCGCTTCAAACCCGGGTCGCGGTTGAGCCGCTTCTCGAGCGCAAGAAAACGCTTTATCGCTGTTTCGCGCGATTCGCCGAGCCGTTGAAATATGTCCTCTTTTAGCGGCAATTTCACGATATATCGGCCTTCATCGTTCGTCGACACGTTCGTCATAAAGTGACTTTCGCAAGCCTGCTCGTCGCGGGTATAACCGTTAGAATCCGCTAATTCCTCGATCCTCCAAAATTGGTCAACTCGTTCGTGGAGCTGCGCGTTATTAATCGTCGCGTGTAACGCACGCAATTTGGCGCTCGATCGTGAGGTGCCCCCACCCGTACGCCCGGCCAAAATCCAGCCTAGACGTGTTTTTTGTAAAAGAGGGTGCTCGGATGTCGCATGAATTTGGCCCACGCACGCCAGCCGCCAAAATAAGTCGATCCCGATCAATAAATCGATGTCGGAAGATATGTTAAATTTCGGATCCGCTAGATCGATGCCGGGCGGCAGCCTGAAGGCCTGACGCCTCAGTGTGCTCGCCGGAACTCTATCCGCGATTCGGTCGGTGACAACGCAGTCCAGCTCGGCCTCGAACGAACTCAGTCGCGACCGGAGTCTGACTCGCGCCATCCGATTTAAGACGGACGTCGATCCGAATATGCCCGATATTGACAATTCCGTAGGCAATGTTTTTAATCTCAACTTCGCCACGAATTTATTTGAAATAAAATTCGCCTGTGCTCCTGCATCCAGCAAGGCACGGCATGACATCCGCGAACCGTCCGCGCCGTAAACGTAAACAACCGCTGTTGACAGTAAGGGCTCCGCGCCGTCACCCCCGACCGCGCCGTGCGCGACCACGACGGCAGGGTCGCCCGTAATCGGAGTCGAACCGTCCGCCGCTGAGCCGGCGGCCCGCGAATTCTCAATTCCCCTTCCCTGGTTTGAGAGATGTAGCAGAGTGTTATGCTTCAACTTGCATGTCCTGCAGCCGCTCGACGAGCACTCGGCCGCCACGTGATCACGGCTACGCAAGCAATTTAGACAGAGTTTTCGACCGCGCACCTCACCTATGCGCCGATTTACCGGAAGCGCTAGGAATCCCTTGCAAAAGTATATCAAATGCGCACCCCCGCAATAAGTGCATCTTCCCCCCTCGACCGTCGCATGCAGCGCGCGCCGTCCCGAAGTCGATCGCGCCCGCGAACGAATGTCGGAGCGCTCGGAAGCGCTTGATCCCCCCCCAGCCGACTCCTCTAAAATCTGACTGCGATGGGCGAGAAAATCAATTAATTCTTTAAATGCGGGCAACTCCGAGCCCCCCAGGGAGGAATGCCACTCCCTAGATGTTACGTGATCTAATTTGGACGTAATTATATGTATTAACAACGCGTCCCATTTGTCGGCGTTGCAGTCCAATGCAGTTAACGCGCGCACGTGTGCCGCCGCACCGTCCGCCAGCTGCCGAATGCCACTCGCGCTTTCTTTCGTAATCGCCGTTAAATCGAATATCGCTTTTATGTGTGTCTGCACGATTACACGCTTATTATTATAACGCTCTTTTAAAATATTCCACGCAAGGTCGTAATTGTTATTTGATATCTCTAATGTTTTGACGATGTCGAGAGCTGTACCCGTCAACGACGCCCGTAAATATTGAAATTTTTGTATGTCAGATAATGTTTTGTTATTATGTATGACCGAAATAAAAGTGTCATGGAACGGGAACCATTCCTCGTACTTTCCGGAAAAAGACGGTAAATTTAATTTTGGTAAACGGACGTATGTTGCGGCTTCGCTCTCGGATCGCGCTGATACTGGCGTGGAGGCCCGCGGACTATTTTGACCGCTGTCATTTCGCAATAATCGCCGCATTCTCGCGCACAACGAATATACGTTGTCTTCGAACGCGACTCTGTCCTCTATTTCGGCCTCGTCTATTGCCTCTAATTGCGACTGCACCTTGCAGTAATCTTCCCATATTGGGTCTAAGCGCGCGCGCCTTACTTCCAATTGCGCTCGTGCATCGTCATCTACCGCGTTCACGCTATTCACGAACGTTTCTATCCGCGTGCACGAACCCTTTATTATTCCGCGCCTTCTTTTCAGCGCCGCTATCTCTGATGCCGTCACATTTGACGTCGACGCACTCGCGCTACTTGTACCCGGGCTACGGTCGATCGGCATTTTTTTCTTTTTTCGATTTACAAACAGTTTATAATGACCGACGCGAATCAAGTATTTGCAAATAAATAAATAAATAGGTCACTTTCGCAGCGCAAAAAATACAATTGGTGCAGGCTTAAGTACCGCTTACCCAGTTACGTGTCCTCTTCTCTGCCTGGCGCCACGCCGCCCCTCGAGGTGCCGCTCCGACGAATATCGTCTCTCCCTGCGTGCAGCTCGGCAGGCCCGGTCACCGTCCTCCAAACTGGCTGTCGTCCTGGTACGTAGCCGACACCCTCGCCGTGGATCCGCACTCAGACTTGAGTCGGTTTCGTCTCCTCCGAGACGTCCGACGCCTCCGGAAATTAATCCGGCTCGAAGGACCAAAATGTTTAATAATAATTTGAGAACTGATGCGCCGGTTGTAAGCCGGCGCGTTCTCTACCCAACGTTTTTTATATTGCGAGATGATGTTCCAGCCGTGAGGCCGTTCCTCTGATTGCAGGATGCAACGAAGGATAGATAAACCCGTGTGGAATATCCACACGGAATAATTATTATGTTCCGCTCCTTGTAGTAAAGGATTTATTATTGCGGCGTCCAAGTGTACCGCTCGTCTGAGTACAAAAGGTTGTTGTCGATACACGCGCAGGTTTATGTATATTTTCGCCGAGAAGTAAGTACAGAGAAGTGTTGAGAAGTGAAGTACGGAGAAGCGTTTGCTTCTCTATTTATATTTTGGGGCTATCCCCACGTATTTTTATCAGCGAATCGCGTAAGACCATATTTTCGACTAATACTTATATTTTACGATTGGCTATCTTCTGATCGTCGTTGTAAGTACGAAACATATAACTAAATATTTTTGCGCAAAATCTTTCATTATAGTGCGTTTTGGAAAGCCTTCGGGAAAGGTAAAGACTATGTATATAAATAAATATATATTATATATAAGAAATTTTAAGGTAACTTATTTTTATCAGATAAATTCTAATTAACTGATCAATCAATGAATAATTTTTTATTATTTTTATCTTTAACCTTTTCCATTGTGCATAAACGTATACTTTCGAAAAATGTGTCACAAGCTTTGATGATACCCATTAAAAATAAATATATTTTTGTCAAGTGTGTTGTGCGCGCGCGCGTGTGTTGTATATATATATATATCTCATATAATACATATATTATATAAGAATAAATCAGGTATCATTGAATATGCAAACAATTATAGATAAAGATAATCTTGCAAATTAAAATCATCTTTTTTTTTGAATGATCTCAAGAATTACAATTTCACTGTGGATATCACGTTGCAGGACATCCTGCGTATATATACACATACATAATACATACATACATACATTCATATACAGGGTGTCCCATAATTCGCGAACCACCGGGAATGGGCAGATAGAGCGTGTTAAATGAATAGAAAAATCCTGTATCATTTTGCGATATTCGCAATAATTATTGAGTTATTAACTAAAATATCTAAACGAATGAGCGGGTAGAAAGCGGTAGGCCGGACTCGGTGTGCATGTCGGATTACTTATTTTGTTATATGCCGCTTAGTATCAAAAGTATCATCTTACTTTTCGGCGCCACTACATGGTCGCCGCTTGCTGCATGACGCCGCATCTCGATCAATAATGCTTTCTACTGCTTATTCGTTTAGATATTTTAATAAATAAACTTAATAATTATTGCGATATCGCAAAATGATACAGGACTTTTCTATTCAGTTCAACACGCTCTATCTGCCCATTCGCGGTGGTTTCGCGAATTATATATATAGTATATGATGAATGTATGTATGTATGTGTATATATACGCAGGATGTCCTGCAACGTGATATCCACAGTGAAAACTTTGTATTCTTGAGATCATTCGAAAAATAAAGATGATTCTAAATTTTGCAAAATTTCTCCATCTATAAATTTTTGCGATATTCTAATGACACCCTCCTCATTCTTAGTCAATATTTATGGGGTTCAT